GGGGAAAATGGGTATAGTAGACTGGTTTAAAGATATTGAATTTGGATTATCATACAAATTCACTTCTCCCTTATCTTCTAGACAATGGAAAAAAAATAAGCAAATGTCTAATAGTTAAGGATGCATCTCGTTAGATTTAATACTTACAGTTCATTTTGTAGCTAAAGAGATCAATCCAGTTCATCTAGTTTTCTTTTCTATATATTGCCCCCCCCCCAGGTTCGGTGCTGAAACTGAATAACTTGACATGGCACCATTTCAAGAACTAATAAAGATCGATTTGAAAATGATGCATGTAGATTAGTTTTTCAATCCAGTATGGGTCTCTTTAGACAAATACACATTCATTATTCCAATGTAAATAGTTGTTCATTGTGTTTCAAGCCAGTTGAAATTTGCTGGTGAGTTTCATGCATTTTCTTCTACACAATCTGAAAGTTGTATTTTGATCGTTGGATATGTTTACTGCATCCCGGGCATTGCTGTTTCCAGTACATCAGAGTTATTTCATTGGCCAGATTTAAAATGAAAAAATATGTTAAGTTTTAAGAAATTGCTGAATTTATTACATTTAAACATGTAAGGAATGCTTTCTGTGATTACGATATGTTCTACTGATATCAGAAGAGGTCTAAAGCAGTCTTAAATGAAATGAAAAATGTATTTTTTGTCCTCAAGTAGAAGGTTTTTCTTTGCTTTCCAAATAGGTTTGGAATGGTACATAAATTACGGAAACTTTAGTAAAGCCTTTTGTTTCACATTTTGTATTGTACCAGAATAGACATCCAAAGGCAACATGCAGATTTCCCTGCCACTTATAATCAATAAAATCAGTCTTGAATATAGAAATAGCTTCTATGCGTCCTATTTTTCATTATTACTATATGTAATGGATTATTTCCTGTATTGGTATTGACAGCATTTTGAACTCCTTGCATGATTGTGAAGATTTTCAATTATATTTCCATGTTGTGTAAAGGGTTAGGGTCTTTTGATCTGGAAAATTATACTTAAAAATTTGGTAAATTGGTTTACAACAAGATCTTTTCATATTAAATGTTAATGTAATTTTAGACACAGTTAATTCAAGTCTTTAACCATTATGGAAAGCAAACTTTACATTATCACTTTATCAATGGTAACTGATGATCTTTTATTTATTGTCAGCAGAGGAGAGGATTGTGCCTTGGCAGTCGGTTTGCTGATGATAATGAATAATTTGTTGTTAGGATGTGCCACATTTATCTACGCATTGTCATTCAACCTTCAAATGATGCCATCATGGCTGAATTCTTTCTTTATAACATGTTTGGAGATAACAGTTCCTGTGCACGAGTTTCAGCATGATATTTTGTAATTAATCAATCCAAAATTTCTTTAGTTTTTAAATTGTAATCAACCTATCCCAAACGACTTACTTTTGAGTTCACGTTTGATTGGCTGATTAATCAGATTGGGAAACATTTTCTGGGCAAAGATTTAAACTTGCTTTCAGATCTGATTGTGAACTTTATAATTGTATAGTAACAAGTGTGCTATTACAAAATGAAATTATGGTCTTTTGTATACATATTCAAATTAATATTTGTCTAGTCTACCTTGACAAGGTGATCACATGGGGGTACTTTTATGTGCACATCCATCCGACTGTTTATCTATCTGCACATCTTTTCTACGTAAATAATAAATAAAAAGGTGGTGTTGTGTATTTTCATCAGTACATCTGGTATTCTTTGAACATAGAAACCAACTACTGACATGAAATCAGAAATTTTTTTATTAACTAATGCAAGATTGTTTTGAAAAACTCTGCTTGCTAGAACCTTCAAAACATTGTTAGAGCTGGAAAGTCGCCTTTGTGGGGTCGGTAACAATATATGGATATAAAGTTATAAAGGCATAACTTGTTATGGAATATTTAATAAGTCTCTTAAAAGTCATGTTAATGCTGTGAAATCAATGTTATAAAGGTTTTAATATTGAAAAATAAAATCAACCATTTTGGTACAAAATAATTAGAAAAACTTGTCAAAAGTAAAAATGTCATTTTGCAACGATCTTTTTCTGTTCATGTCATTTTTTTCACAGCTGCAGAATGGATAACTAACTTAGAATGTAATGCCATCAGATATCTCAGCAGTGATCAGAATGGATAACTAACAATGTTTATTTAATGCCATCAAATATCTTTCCAGTGATAACAATGGATAACTAAGTAACAATGTTTATTTCATGCCATCAAATATCTCAGCAGTGATCAGAATGGATAACTAACAATGTTTATTTAATGACATCAAATATCTTTCCAGTGATAACAATGGATAACTAAGTAACAATGTTTATTTAATGACATCAAATATCTCTGCAGTGATCCCAGCTCTCCTCTTAATTTAGTTGCATTGTTTTCACTGTACTGCTAATCTGCAGTGTTTTATATTTTTCATATGTTACAGGAATTTATTTCTTCATTGGCATCTATATTACTCTCAAAAACCAATTTTCTTTTTACAAAGGATGCAAGTTTCTTTTGTAATCTAGTGATTTTAGTTGAGTATCTTTTCCAATACTTTTTATTATTTACGAGAGAGAGGTCATGAAAGTTAAAATACCATTGTTACTTTATCATATATTGATGTTGTTCTTTCTTGAGGTGAACAATGCTGTGCTTCTCGACTTTTGGCATTTGTAATATTGTTTCCAAGGTGAATATTTGCTATTAATTTTATCAGACTGACAAAGCTTTGTATCTATAGAACACAATAACAATAACTGGACTACTTGCAGTACATCTTTATATGAATGAAAGTTCTCATGTTGAAACAAACATCATTGTCTTAAGTATAGAAACCAGCAAATATTTTTTGAGATTTCCATGAAAATTTCATTATGTGCCAATTCATGAGGCGTAAATTTTGCACAATGCTAGCCAGTGGCCTTGTCATAGGAGTGGCCACTTAAGAGGGGTATTACAAAGATGAAATCGTTTCTTGCAAGGAATTCTGGCCATATAAGTGGGTGGCAATTGGTCACGGGTCCTTTAAGATTAAAACCACTTTACTTGTCATGTTACTTAAAAGTAAATTTTTTATTTTTATGCAAGTTTATAGTTGCCATAGATGAAGGTTACATGATATATGGATGGATGTGGTAATTTTACCATGCAGATAGATTTAGTTGCAAATACCAAATCATTACAGTCAGAAAGCTCCCTGACATTTGTGAAGGGAATAAAACTTGGGCTGAAAATAGTTGCTATTATGTCTTCTTTTGTCCCATGTTACCATGCTGGTCTTTTGATAAGTTAAAAAAAATGTATTTGAAGTTTTGGAAGGATTAATTCATTAAATATCAGTCTGTATGTAACATTTTTAATGCACCTCCATTTCATGAATACTCTCCATAACTTTTGGAAGCAGTTTATTTGCTGTCAGTGCTAGTGTACTGATACATGTATCTTCCTTGTATGGACATGTTGTACCTAATATTTTATTACACATTTGAGTCTTCGATTCAGACCAATTTTGTTGTGTTGGAGAGCTACATGTTACAAAACTACATACGGTAGTTTGTATCCCATTTTCAATGGTTTTATAGACATTTCTTAAAAATTGAAGTGTTTCTTGTTGAAATATCTTCATAGCTCACCATCACAAATTAGATATCTATTGTACAATAAGTGCTATAGTCACAGGCATCTATACATATGAAGACATATAACTGTACAGCCTCAATGCATCTCCAAAGTATTCTATCATAGGCTCAAGGTAACAGTGGGGATTTTGAATGCAGCTATAAGAGGGGTGGGGGAGAGGCTAAGTGGGATAACTTTGTACAAGAGCATTGTAAACAATTTAAATTTTTTCACAAATTTATTTATTTATATACACAAATTTGGTAAGGGAATGAAGCATAGCCCATATTTCATACTTTGGTGACTTAAGTTGAATATTGTTTCAGATTTGTTTTCGCATGCTGTGATCATGTTAGTCATCAAAGTAGATGATTGTATAGATCCCATTTAGTACCATACCCTTAAAAGAAAAGAAAATTGCTGACCTGTTTTGCTTTTTGTAAATTTTAGGCACATATTTGCTTTTTGTAAATTTTAGGCATATATTTGTTTGGCCCATGACCATGTTGATTTTTTACATCCTGTAGTAGTAGTTGTTTTTGGGCTTAACGACATTTTTCAGCACACGATAGGCTATACATGGCAGCCAGTATTATTGGTGGAGGAAGAAACTGGTAAAACCGCGAAAAGAACCACTGACCCACGAGAAGCTACTGGCAAGCTTTATCTACATTGGCCGAATCTTAAACTCGAACCCACGCAGTTGCATCCTGTACAAATATTGCATCAGGAATTGTAAAACTAGTTTAATGCATTTTGAGTATTTCAACCTCGTCACAAGAGTAGGTCAGTGTGATCCATATTTCATGTTATGCTGACTTGGGTTAAACTTTTGTTTTAACATCTCTATTAGTACCACACCTGTACATAAAAACATTAACTTCCTTTTCAAATTTTATTGGTCAAAGTTAATTTTTGTCATTAGCTCATGACCACATTTTTTGCATGCTGTGCAAATAAATATTTACTATCCTATCTAGAATCATGAACCTGGTGCACCTGATGTTTGAATCCTGAGACTGATAGTTAATTGCATGCATCTTGGTTAGTACTACATCCATGCATCCAATAGATGTCCGTCATCTATGCTTTACTAACGCGAGTCAAATTCATGCCCACATATTTGTTTTCATGCTATATACACCCTAGCATTACCCAGAATTGACTTTCTGGACAGAGTGGAGGAAAGTAGGAATAATGTTGATTGGAGCATAAATATTCCACATTAATGTTTGTATCTATATTGATCATTATGTCATGTATTTTGATCACATAACTTAGGATGAGAACTGTAGAAACTATAGATAATTAATTCTGACTGATGGGAGTATCTAGATTAAATTATGGTAATTACTAATTGATAATAACCGCTCCGGTGGCCTCGTTGTAGAGCGTCCGCCTCGGATGGGGGAGGTCGTGGGTTCGATCCCCGGTCGAGTCATACCAAAGACTTAACAAAAATTCTAACAGCTGCCTCGCTTGACGTTCAGCTTTAAGAGGTTAGTATTAGGATTGGTCGGCCTGGTGTCAGGATAATTTGACGGGTATCATGATGCATGTCTGCGGCATGATGCCCCAATGCTAGACATTACTATAAACTGTCACACTGCAGAAATCGTAGCGATATGACTGAAACATTGTTAAAGCTACGTTAAAAATCATAATCACGTCACATCACTAATTGATAAGCATACAATAAACTCCTGTTTTATTGTTTTAAACAACGGGAGTGCACATGCACCCTGCACAGTCTTCAACTATAGTGGTCATGGTTCGTGGTTACAGTTGTTAGGGATGAGGTAACCTCAGCTTTACAAGTACATATTTAAGGGGTCAATTAAAAATGGATATTAATGTTTTAGACTTTATTTTTCATGAAGTTTGGAAATAAACTAAAAATAGAATGTGTTCTAGAGGCAGTCAATAAATATTTGTGCTTATTGGCAGTTACCATACTTCATTAAAATAGTTTGTACAGTGTACAATTGAAGCCATTGAAGTAAAATGTTTTGATACCATGATGGCTTGCCAGTTTTGTTTTGTGGGTTTAATGTCGTTTTTCAGCACATAATAGGCTATACGTGGCAGCCAGTATATTTTTTTAAAGGAAAACCCGCAGAAAAATCAAAGGAAAAACTACCAACCCAAGGGAAGCTATGGGAAGCTTTCTTACGTAACCACATTGCCAAGCTAACTTTAAACCCATGTAGACAGAGGTGAGAAGTCATCTGTAACGGTGAGCACCTCAGACTATACACCTGACCAGGAAGGGAACATGCCCGTAAATATTGTTCATTGATTGCTGTTATCTCAGCAGTTTAAAGGGGTATTGTACATGTGAATAAATATGGGAAATAGAGTTGACTGCATGGCTTTCATAGTGTTGTGTTGTGGCTAATCAAGGTAAAACTTGATGGCTAGAGCTATGCTTCTAATACTGGCAGTCCCTCGAAGTTACTCAAAGCCTGTGACCTTCTTCAGGCATGACTATCTGTGAACAATGATAACTTTAGGAGCAGGATTGTAGTAACAACGATTTTTAAAATGGAAGAAAACATTGATATCGTTTGAATTAAATCCATGCAGTACATCTGCTTTGATATGATAGAGAATTAAAAAAAATTTTATTAAAAAAACCCCCGTTTTTCTTTCATGCCATATCAGGGTATACATATGGCGTAGCAATATATTGGCACAATACTGGCTATACAACGATGGTTAAAAGGTAAGAAATGCGCTATTTTATTTGTCCCAAGTGTCCAAGGACCAAACATTGCCAGTAATTACAAAACATAACATATGCAAGACGGTCATACAACATTTGCGAGACAGAATTTAATATTTAGCAAAATACACTAACGAAAAATGTATATAAATAGATAATGGACTCGAGAGTTTAAAAAAAAAAACAATTGCTGAATGTTACTATTTAATACATTCAATTACTTAGTGGTGTGCAGGCTAATAAGACCATGAACTAAAAGAAATAAAAATACACTTGACAGAAAGTAACTTCTACATAAAAGCCATAAAAATAACCATTCAGTGGAGAATACATTGTGATATGGAATGTTGGCAAAATCTGTTAAAACAGGCTATATGGATGACAAATCAGGATGTGGAATGTTTTAACATGTTACTGGCATTTATTGGAGAAATCAATATATAGATTTCATATACACTTCCATTTATGAAAGCTGTCTGAATGCTTAGTACCATTACCCAATGATAAACCTTTTAATTTGAGTTTGATATTTTGTTTTGTTTTTTTTTTTAGCTTAGCGTGGTAGAAGCTTAGTTTGCCGAAACGCAGCAAATAACGCTGGAAGGGTCTTTTGTAGGATGTGCGTGTCGGCAACTGACAGTTTATACCATGATAAACCCGAAAAAAAAAAGAAAAAAAGAAAAAAAAAAAACAAAACAAAAGCAACCATTAGTCTTATAATTGCTGTTGCATCATTTGAGAAATGCATGGAAGATTTCCATTGGCCAGAACATAACCATGTGATCAGACCAGTTGCATTTGTTTCGGTATAAACTTAAGAATGACTTTATACTTATTTAAATAGTCCCGTGAAAAGTAACTAATGTAAACACTGAATCAGAAGGCATCCACACTGCCTGCATTTAAAACTAAATAAAAACGGTGGATTTACACTTTAATTAGAACAGAATAAATTTATTTGATCAAATAGCAAGTCATAATTTTTTTCTGAAGATAATTCTTTCTTTGAATAGGGTTGAAAAAAAAAATCTGAAGAGAAGAATATTGGGGCTACGTTGTACAGCACTTTCAGTGCGGCTTATTACAATCTTGTCACGCGATGGTACTGCTGAATGCATATTACCATAGCAACATTCAAGAATCATTCTTGTCGACAGCCAGTTTCCTGGTCGTTTTTTATATTGAATCAAAACGGTACGTATGATCATTAGTTGCACAGGCCATAAAGGAATTGCAATCTTCAGACACAAAGTATATCACTTTTTTAAAAAAAAATTAAATGCAATCTTAGTGTATAATGATTCACGGCCATTAAGTACACTAAGCACTAGCTACGATGTCTTAGCCTCAATCTGATTTCTTGTGGTTGAGGTAGGAGTAAGGGTACTAATATTAGGGCATCAGCCCAACCGTTTCACCAGAAAAAAATTCAAATTAACATTTTTCTTAAACTTTAAATATTGGTTTTTGTTTTAAGTTTTACATTTTGTAGGACGTGGGAGGGGGGAGCACCATAATATTTTTAGTGCTTAGGGCCCTAAAAGGCATCAATCCGGCACTGTAAAAAAATTGTCGTTTTGATAGTGAGGTGATGGTCCCACAAAGTGATCTCCCCCTGGTCATTGCATTTAAGGATGATAATGTTAATGCTTCACTGATTAAAATATGGTCATCAGATATATCACAAAGTGTGGTCATACTTCACTATTCGACTGTGGATATTGCACATGATTCAAGGTGTTTTATTTGTTGAAAAAAAAAACAACAAACATTTAATGGAATCACCACCAAAACAATGACCTGTTTTCCAGATACCCTATGACATTTTACTGGTAAGAGTTTCTAAAATTTTAGTGATTTACCATAACCAATTGATAAAACAACAATTATATCATTATATAGGATAGTCCAACAGTTTCCGCTGAAAAGGTTTTAATTCTTTAACAAATGTTCCAAATTGTTTGCTGCATTCATTGATGCAGGCTCTGAAAGTCTCACTCTTAAACAGATAGACACAATAAGAGAAATAAGTTTTTAATTCATATCATTTTCTTGCAAAATAGTTTAAATACAAAATCATTCCACCTAGTATCTTATCAATGATTGGGTCACTAAATTAATTTACAGTTACTAAATTGAGAAAACATTTGCTTTCAATATTATACAATTAGGTCTTTCCATTACCTTCACTCTTCCTTCCATTTGACAATTTTAATCATTTAAAATCAAAGTTGCAGGTAATGAAGTTTTTAATTCATATCATTTTCGTGCAAAATAGTTTAAATACAAAATTATTCCACCTAGTATCTTATCAATGATTGGGTCACTAAATTAATTTACAGGTACTAAATTGAGAAAACATTTGCTTTACAATATTATACAATTAGTTCTTTCCATTACCTTCACTCTTCCTTCCATTTGATAATTTTAATCATTTAAAATCAAAGTTGCAGGTAATGTGAATCAGCAGATTTAATATTTTAATTGCAAACACTATATGATACTATATATATATATATATATATATATATATATATATATATATATATATATATATATATATATATATATATATATATATATATATATGTGTGTGTGTGTGTGTGTGTTGTGACCAGTTGAGTTGAAATTGTTATTTAAAAGTTATTTCTTCATCAAGGTTTTGGGCAAAGACATTCAGTGGAAATTATTTGGAATTCTAAAGCACGAACATTATGCTTGATTCACAAAAACAACAAGGAACTGTTGACACATCAGTACAATACTGCATTCATCTGACTTCATCGTCAATCATATCGGAACTTTACCGGGATTCGAACTTGGATTTACTTTGAACTTTTTAGTTATAGGACTTATATTTGTAGATTACATGAGTACTTTTTTGGATTATATTCACAAGCTGTATGTCCTTTTTTCACATTTTTACCTTTTGTTCCCCAGGGAAATAAATTATATTGAGAAAAAGTTACAATGCTTGTGGGCTTCACTCTTTTCTTTTGTTACTTTTGAACGAGCCTACACGTAACAACGAATTTCAAAGATTTAACCCTATCACAAAACAAAGGGAACCATGTTTATATACACGATCATGGATTGGAAGTTTATACGCACATCATAATAGGGAAAACGAATGAACAATACTAAACTAAAGGAAATACAGAGCAGTTGCCACTGATGATCAGAAAATCGGAAAACAAAAACGAAAAGGCATGAAAGCTGGTCCGATAGGTCCAAATGCCTGACAGCAAAAGATTACGGGCCGTGAAACCTAGAGATGTATGTGTGTATATATATATATATATATATATATATATATATATATATATATATATAGTTTAATACAAACAATACTATCATACAGGTTAGAGAAATTAAATTCGTACTCTACCGAGTTCGAACCCAGGTCCGCGAGTAAATGGCACCCATCGCCTTGCCTGCACGCACCAACCCATATACCGTCACGACTAAGCACGCATCACCAAAAAATGATGGCACTGAATCGTTGTTATATAAGCTCGTGCGTAGCAGAGCTTATATAACAACGATTCAGTGCCATCATTTTTTGGTGATGCGTGCTTAGTCGTGACGGTATATGGGTTGGTGCGTGCAGGCAAGGCGATGGGTGCCATTTACTCGCGGACCTGGGTTCGAAACTCGGAAGAGTACGAATTTAATTTCTCTAACCTGTATGATAGTATTGTTTGTATTAAACTATT